CGTTTATGATACATGAAAGAGCAACGACGATTAAGAAGACCTTAATGTTGCTCAGATCTGTTGGATTATCTTGGACATGAATGATCTGTCTTCAAGAGAAATGCGATGTAAACATAGTCATTAAACACTACATGGTTTTCTAGAGCCATTACTTTGTACAAGTACCATTACTTTGTTAAGTACTGTATTGGTAAGTGCAAATGAATTTTCTTAAATTTTGAAAGAATTTATCTTTGACAAATTTGAAATACCAATGATACGGAATGTGAGTACATCAAAAACTTTCAACTAGATACCTCAGAGTTTTCTCTTTTCACATTCTGTTTAATAGACGATGCCAACCAGCTTATTCTATTAATGGAACCGGTGTCGTTAGACTAATTTACAACTTAATAAATTATAACCGTGCGATAAGAGATAATTGGTGAACAGCCGATGGATCGAGAAGAATTTCTGTGCGCAAGAAACGCGTTGCTGATTCCTTAGTAAGGACTTTGATTATTAAACATCTCACTTTATTACAAAATACTGGTACTGAAAGTAGGAATGAATACGACTGTTAGCTACCATAATCCGACGTTCGTACATCGACGATCATTGATTAAAAATTTATTAGCGAAAGGGGCTCTGTCTGCTAATATTTGCATGTTTGGCGCCACGTAGTTCAACGTAATCTGACATTCATCCAGACGTAAGTTCGCGTAGCAGATCTGTCGAGTTTCCATTAGTCGAACGCTTTTGAATCGACATGTGGCAAAATCGAGAAACGATATTTCATCGTTTCGTTGTTCGACCTGCAAATCGATCGATCGTTCTCGTTTTTTTGTGTAATGCTTATGACGCAACTTTAATGATACCCAATGGACGATGTCGTCGAGTCAACGAAATGGCGAAAAAACAGGTATTTCACTTGCTGTAACGTGGTCAGGTAATTATTTTCTTTGAACGTATGATTCTGATTAAAATTTCAATAACAATATTTTTATAACATAAGCCTTCAAATATCTACTTATTTCTTCCCAATAACGATACAATGTTTCTATGTTTATTTTATTGCAAAAGAAAGTAACTTTCATTAAGGAAGTAACCAACGTTCATTTACATAAAATGCATGTATAAAATTTTACTACTTTACTTTTAAGAGCTTTCTTATGGTAAGAAAGATTAAGAAATTAAAAGGCCTATGATGAGGACTAAAAACCTCGGAACCCTGGAATCTGGGAACCCGAGGAATCCTAAGGGAGAGGTCAGGACAAGTGCGAAAGTAACTTACTTCATTGATATTGAACGTAAAATCCATTGAAAGTAAATGTTTGTCATTTGCATAAATCACCTTCACACATTTCCTTTATTAGTTTGTGCAATATTGAGCAAACATTTACCGATAAAGCAATATTATTACGAAGCAATGTTCAATGTTTCATCTTCACGATTCGATGCATAAACTCCTTTCTAAAAGAACGTCTTTGTATCCACACGATTTACCCCACGAATCATGCTAATCGCGGATGTCATCAAGGCCAATCATCACATGCATTTTATCTAATTTTCTCATTACATTTAAGTGTATTGTAATTATGTTCGTTTATGATCATTTTGCATAATATTTTCATACTGCTCCGTTTGAAATTTGCAGCCAAGTGTATTGTTTCTTTATTTCAATAAAATTACTATGTCTCCCTATTTTCATTTCAGGTTATGCACCTCTACCCTTTCTATTTATTATACTAAATATTCCAACGTTATTCCTAACTTCTACGGTTCTCAAAATTAGATCCATACAGCTGCAGCTCATTACGATGGAGCGACAACTACACGATTAACACGAATCGTTAACAAAACCCCAAAACATTGTACATCTGGATATACATACCAATATAACCAGAATTTACTAGCATTTCTTCCAAATTGAATTACAGTGAGGAACGTGTTCAATAAGATGGGATCATTATTCATTGATTTACCTAAAATTCGTTTGTCCACCCACGTGTACACGCGAAGCACGCGGGCGCCCGTGCGATCAAGAGGATGATCCAAACGCGATATATTTATACGACGCGCCGCGTAGACCAGAGGCTGATGAACGATGATGATATAACGAGGGAGATGCACTCCGGACGTCTTGTAGGAATGCAGCAATTTAGCGATATCAGCCAGGCCGACGTGGCTAATTCTATCTATGGGCTACTCGATAATTTACTGAGCAGAAAATTGGATCGGCACCACTGAGAAATCGCTAATTAACAACTATTCGTCTCGTTCAACGATTCGAGCGAGCCGCGAACACGAGAAAAAGCTGTGGTCACGCGGATTTCGCGGGGTAAATTTTATCGAATTAGATCAACAGAGTGCGAGGATATCTGATTACCACCTGTTTCGCTTCGTACCTGACCAGCTATGTAATAAAGAAGCTTGCTGATCCATAGCACGTAATTTCCTTTGAAATTGGGGAGCAATTAGGACGTCGCTGAATTTATTATTCGTGATTGGTGGTCATTTCCCGGAGACACATTACCTGGTCCAATGAAATTTGAAGAGTATACTATAATTTTTTAGTAAACCTATGTTTCTATCTTGGGAACTTTGAGTGCCATTTCCAGCGAACTGAAAATGGCACATTGCGAAAACACAAACCACTCAGCAGCAACATTGTACGTAGATTATAAATCCATTGTGGCCACTCGAAATTGCGTACAAACACTCGTGATGATATATTTCGACATATTGACTAAGTAACCCAAGAGAAACAGAACTCTGGAGATCTGGACCACACGTCGAGTAAACATTGTTACGTTATCCTGCAAAAATATATTTTCAACAAACTGTGATAAATAAAATTTTTCATATAAATGAGAAAATATATCATTATTATCCTATCGATGATAGGCAGCTACCTTATTTCACGCATTAGATGAAAGTATCACAATGTGCGGTGGTGCGATCCTAATGTGCGTACGTGAGTTTAAGTAGTGTGAAATATTAATATCGTGTTTCAGATTAATATCGTATTACGTACATGACACTATGTCCATGAAAAGTATCATTCTCTTAACAAACATTGTTGTCTTCTGTGTCAATTTATTAACTTCAATGATGAATGTTGGATCATTTAAGATACCTATCCAATAACATTCTTGTCCTGGGATGAACATAATAAAATATTTGTTTTCGTATCATCAAAGACCAGAAACATTCCTCATTGCATATCATAAAATTCATAAAACCGCTGCAATAATTCCATCATTTGCATTTTACCTTCGAATACTTCTAGAAGATAGAAAAATGAATATTCATGAGGTATAGACAAGAAGAAATGGCTGTACGTCCACAGGCAAAATTTCCAGTTCGAGGGATGATATCGATGCGGTCGATGATTTAACGTAAATATTTAACGTTGTTCAGGATACTTCTATAACTACGATTACGCGTTATATTCACGTTTCGTATCGTCGCGATCTTTTCTTACGACCGGTTGCTCGGTATGTTCTCTTTTTCCTCTGCATACTAGCGGGGACTAACCACGTTGCATCTTCGAATCCTCTCTTCTCCGTTTCGCTCGATTTTATCCGGTATTAGATGCGGTGACGGTAATTTTTTGACGTTGTTTAGCCAGATTTATGGTATCAATTTTCAAAGGAATGTATAATTATTAATTTTACAAAAATAGCACAGGAAAAATTGTTGTTCTTCTTTAAATTCTATACCAATAAATTTTTTGTTATATTAATAATAAAAGCTGTGGAAATATAAGGCAATAATTAATAATTAATAAAAAAAAAATCAGATTAATAATTCTACTTTAATGAGTACCTACATTTGACAGAGCACGTAAGCCGATAAAGTGAAGTAGTACCAGAATTCCCGTTGACGAGGTGGCAGGACTTTTTGGTATTTGGTTTCAGTGATGCACACGTTTTAGCAGCTTCTGGATTATGGGACTAAAATTAGTTAACCCTCTGGTTGCCACCTAGCCACGAGTTTACAAAAAAGTGATCACGACAAGCGTATAAACAAGCCTGTTAGACCGACCATACGTCCATGTAAGCTCCTTTCGCGATAAACAACCATTATAAGAACCGCTTAATTCTCTGCTACTTTTACCCCACTGCATCGAATCGTTGCCACCGTTGAAAATCCATTAACCAGAGGAAAAAGGGAGGACCTTCACATTTTGCTACCTAGCATGACGAATTACTTCAGATTAATATGTCAACTTTGCTGTCATAGCTGTAAGTTTCATGTTACTTAGATTACTGTAATCTATGTACACGCTGTTCTGGATAAATTAAATAAATTTTTATAAATGAAGTTTTACATGGAATTATCATTTTATCTGATTCTAATACTATTTGTAATGAAATGAAAAAAGGATATTAAAGAATGTATAAAATTATCTTGTTTTTTGCAAATGTATACCTAGTGAAAGGTTGCAATAAAAAACCAGATAAATCCAATTTATATGGGTAACAAACACATCGTGAAAATGTTCAGACTAAAAGGTTTCATTCTCAATTGTCTTAACAACTTTACAGAGCAGGCTTTTAAAAAACATTATGACTCAAGCTCTCAAATTCCATTCCTCTTAATAATTCGCTGTTGCCTTTGCGTTTCAAATCCTTTCACAGAATCCCCTGAAAAAAAATAAATGCAATTAGAAAAATATTTCCAAAAGAAATGAATATTAAACTTACAGAGGAAATGTATGAAATTCTGTAAAGATAAAATTTAATTTTCAACTCTAATAATTAAATTGCAATATTGCAAAAAATCTGCAAAGTTTGTCATTTCTTATTAATTATTTCCATCATACAAAATTTGAAGTGTTGGCCACTGATGGACCCCATGGCAAAAGTGTTAATTGATAATTTGCATGGTACTTGAATTGCAATTGGGTGGTCCTACCGCCAGGTGACAAAATAAGGTGGAGGAGCGTAAAGGCACGTTCATAGTGCAGCGCGAGACACACGACTGTATAAAGTCGATCCTCCACCGACGGGAGCCGTCAGTTCGGCACGACACCTCTGTAAAGCACGACAGAGGAACTCGTCTCTCGGTATTCTGTAACATGCAACACGCCATCGTAGCTACGGCTTCTTATTTCCTCGATATTTAATTAACTGACAAGTGCTCATGGTGAACCATCGAATGGAAACGACATAAACTTTGGTGACATTGTCCAGGAAAAATATTGACAAACTAAAAAGTGTCTCACAAATTAAAACGACAGTAATTATCTAGTGATCGACAAGTTTGAAATTCTCAGTCTATTATTCGAATTTTTTTTTTTTAAATAAATCAATTCGAATGACAGGAACGTAATTTATGGCAGGTGATATTATGTGCTCCAGTGCTGATATTTATACAAATTTATTTTTTATTTTGCAATGCAGAGTAGCATGAGTTTCTTGAATGAATTATTCAGAAATTTGAGGATTTTTCAATTCGTAGTCATTTAGTTTCTGTTTCAAGGTTTATTTTATATTGATCTAATTGATCGATTCTCGATTGAGGTCGTGGATTTGATACATCAATTACTTGTACCAGATTCTATGTTGGGACAAGTTGACACGATTGTTTAAAGTTCAGCCGACTTGTGATCCAACGTTAGACGGTCACGATCGAAATGTCTACGACAAATCGAGTGTTGTACAATTTCCTTATTTTCACGAGGGAAAAAATAAGTTGACAAATTGAACGGAAAGATTAAGATAGTCGAGGAACGTGTCATCTGGTAAGGGCCATTAAGGAGAGGAACGCTTCTGAAAATCGTGCCAGACGTGGAACGTGGCTGAGATTTCTGCGTCTGCCAAAGTATGACGTGAACCCCTTTGCTCTGTCCGACAGCTATAAATTTTTTCCTTCTTTCTTTCTTGCCACAGACTCTTTTTCCATGCCACAAGCTTAAAACACTTTGTAATGTACGAATCTAAATTTACGATCCCTTCGAATGGCTACCATCTCTATTTTCGTGTATACACGCGGCCTTGACTTTGCACCCCTCTTTGCGCGCAATTTTCGTTCCACCCTTCCTGAAAGTGTTACGTCAGGGTAGTAAAAAGACACTCGAAATTCTTCGGTACTTCTAAAGAAATTGGACAGGACAATAAAATTTCTTCAATTTCTCTAAGACTAAATAGTGTGAAAAAGAAGCTATAATCAAAATATTTCAAAATTTTCAATTAATTTTTATAGCTTTCCCAAAAGCCATAGGTCATTTGGTCCCATTTAAAAAAAGTTATTCTGATTTAAATAATGACTTAATACTTTTAATCACTTTCAATGCTATGAGGCCGTATCACTAAACAGATCCCGCAGCTGTTTAAACATTGTTTTATTTATTCGGTTCATCAGAAAATTATTTTTTCACTCTCTTTCCAAGATTATATTAATAGTTAGGTATCGCAGCGGGGTCGATAATCGCAAAAATAAACGGTGTACATGCGTAAGTAAATGTCGCGGAATGATTTCATTCTTCCCGCTCCGTTTTCATATAAAGCAGGTTCGCAAATGTCGGTCGAGAAAAAATAGAAGTTGTAACGAGGAACAAAAGTGTTTCTAGATCGATAACAATGTGGTAAACTTGTAGCAATTGATTATTATCAATCGAATCGCTGAGTACAATGTAACAAAAGAACGAAACGGGTTTAAAATGTCAATCAATTTTTTTTTTTGCAACTTTTGAAGGATTTCACGATTAACACGATACCTTGTCTTTGCGTTACTCGGACACTGATTAATTGACACAGGATACGATTTCTGAAATATCACGCTTCTAATGTATGCTGTACTCGAACGACGTATAGATAGCTACCGAATGCATATCGCATAATTCATATTCCTGATTACTTGCCGTGCACTTAACGTCGCAATATTTAATCCGACTTAACCCGCGTTTAATATGCACTCGAACTGGCACTTAGACTAATAAATAATCGGCTAATAATTTAATTACGCTCGGATCACCGGGCGACTGGTTGCAAATCCGACAAACCGTGTTTCCCGAGTCGATGAATATTCCGTCGGGTTATTATACAAAGTGGTTCAGAAGTAAATGTAAAGACGAGTTTAATTAGTCGGAGGATTTATGCGAGTAAACGAAACGTCTTAATAAATATTTATTCGAAAAAGGATCTGAGTCGATCTGAGCTTTTTTTAACTTGCTAATAAAAGAAAATAAGATGTTACAGTATTCTTCGATTATAGTTAATTTTATTTACATTCTACTACCAAGGAAACTAATATGCAGGATTAGAAGAAGGTTGAATTTCTCATATCTACACATTGATTAAGACCTGTTGAGCTCAATTAAGTAGTTAAACTACTGTTTGCAATTTTCAAATACCCTAATTATCAGTTCACTCGATTCTCCTTTAATCCCCAATGAAAATAAAGCAATTTCAAACTAGTTGCCGATCGTACATAATTACACCTGGAATAATTTCATTTTCTTGTGCGACTATTGCTACATAAATTCCACGTTTCTCGCTGCAATCGCGTTCCATGGGATTTCACATAGACGTTAAAATAGCGTTTCATAGTAAACAGAACCTATAAATTCATCTAGCAGAAACGAACTCGTGACGTTAGATAGAAAATACACGGATAAAACAATAGATTCAAGCAGAGATAATGCGACGTTCGTAATTGAGATCGATCTAGTGGAACCATCGATGTGGCGCCAGCCAAGGAAAATCGAGACCAGGATTTCCAGTCGAACTTTGGAGAGTTTAAAGAGGCTGAGGAATGCTGAGAAATCACTGTCTGACTACTTTCAGCTAATAATTCTACATAAAAGCGATCATGTACGACAGGTTGACTGGTATCAATTCCCCTCAAACATTCGCTAACAACTGGAGCATGAAAGCATTATGTGCTTGCATGTATGAAAGCTTGATACCTTCTTCGATATTCAATTTCCTTCGTCCACCATCCTAAGCCCTTTTCTCACGCTTCAAAATATCTTGATCGTAGCTGAACTACTTAGAATTATTGTATCAGAGATCTTACGGGCGTTTGTGCTAGACACCGAACCGATATTTTTATTTTATTATTAGATTAAATGTGTGAAGCATTGGATCAAAAATCCAATCCCTGCCTTCAACCATCGAGCTACTCGAACTTCGATTTAAAATAAAACCTTTATCGAACGGAACCGACTTCTCGACTATTCATGGAATACTTGACTGTAACCATCACAGAAGAATTCCTCGGTGTTTAATTTTGTCCTCTCAGTTTTGTACAAAATCAAGAAATAAATAACGAGTAATTGAATTAATTGCAACGAACGAATTTACAGCTACAAGCTTCAGTAATTAATGTGACAGATCGTGCGGTGTACAAGATATATAGTGACAAGGAGCAGGAGTGCAGAGTGTTCAAAAGTTTGAATCGAAACGTGTTTGTTTGAGCGTGCAGGCTGGAAAAAGAATCGTGGACAGCTCGAAAGAAACGGGAAACGGTGATTCGCTGATAGGACAGGCTGCAGCGTCGTCCAGAAATCGGGACAGGGCTTAAAAATAGTAGGCGATCCGACGCCCACTTTCGCCGGCATTAAAATATTATCCAAACGTCGAATATATTTTTTCGTTGAGATGCATTCGTTCTACAACCGCGCCTTCTTAAAACGATCCTAAAAATACTCGTCGATTTCCCAAGAAACGTTTTGTCATTCCTTGTTCGCGATGTACAAAAGCTCGAGTCTTTTAGCTCGTGTCATGTGCATCTGACTGATCCTCTACCACAGGGAATTTTCGATGAACCAAAGTTTTTATTAGTATTGGTACTTGAAATAGGAGGCATGAATTATTTTTTTATAATTTTGATCTATGTTATATTTGATACTCATTTCAAAAGCTATGAGGGTAAAGAGAATAAAAATTTCTTTTTAAAATATTAAATTCTTTTCTCGCTCAAATCAAAGACGATCCTTTGGGATTTTTAATTTTTGATAGGGGTGGATTTTAATAAACCTTCTTCATTATATTTTTCAGAACACCCTATATATTTAGTACACTGATAGGGGCCTATAATTTTCGCTAAAACGTATCGATCATTCTTGTCGGCACTTTGCTTCAAATCGATCCCGGAGAGAAACAAACCTGCTTCGGTCGTTTAACGAGGAAAGCGTGCGCCGTGGACCGCGAACGAAAACAGGAGCGACGAAAAATCGGGAAAGGTCGCCGATTTATCGGGCAGCCTGATGTAATTACACAAAGTATGCCCCGTGTTCCCGCCACCTTTTTATCAAACCGCATGACGTCGGTTAGTGTTCGTGTAAATAATTTTCTTATCTCTGCTATCCTTCTATCCGTGTCTGCCACGATCGCGTTGATCACAATTTAGATATCAGCAGGGAAATTCCTGCGGAGTCTCTCGAATCCCGCGCAAGGTAACCCGAGTAACACGATAAATAATATCGCGGAACGAGTGGCGCGAAAAAATTGGCGGGAAAATCGTGTTGGAACGAAGAAAATGTTGGGGGTCACCAATGAAACCCTTAGTGCCATGGTAGAAATAGCTCTAATCCAGTGTTTTAATTTTCCATTTTCATAAGTACTATAATTCTATTTTTATAGTAGCCATCAGCAACCCTCCTAACAACGAATCTCTAATTTTCTATAATATCAAAGAGATCAAAGTTAAAGAGTAGCAATATTAATGTTTTAAACTGAACAAACGACTCGATGGTAAGAGAATCAAATTCCAAGAAAGTGTCAGTGAAATGTTGAACAGCGATTTAAATGACAGTGGAAGGGACTAACATCGAACCAAAGAACGGTGTTTGGAAAATGACGAACTATTTTCCGCAAAGAGGACTTCAACGTGACGAACATTAATGGGAAAAAGGATGACAGTCCAAGTGTGAAGCAGAGCACGAATCTTCTTCAAAATGGATCGAGCTATCCTGTTCGCTCTATTGATATCTCTGACGGTAAGAAACGTTTACTCACGATTTAGTGTGCTGTCGAGAATGTTTCTGGGTTAGTTCTAATTCGACTCGTAGATCAAACTAATGTGCAGTCGTTCGAATGTGCGTGCAAGAACTTGAAAAAAAGCGTAGTAAGTGTAGGCCGGTCTCTTTGAAGCCGAATTCAAAGGACCTGTTTCTTTCAAACGATCATGTACGTCATCGATTTTCTGGGAGGTTACACGGGCTCGTGTTTCGAAATCAAAGAACGAATTATCGAAGTACGAATAACATATTTGCACACTTGATAAATGGTCCAAAGTGTTTTGGTGATTATTTTATCTACTGATAAGTTTCTTTTAATCCTTTATGAGCACAGCACTTTTAAGCTCGATGCTACATTCCTCAGTTAAATCATACACGCTGAATAGTATTTCTTTATTTCAGAGCATGTGCTCATTATACAGTACCGAGCATGGTGGCCTTGCTTAGAAAAAATGGCGATATGTCGGTCTCTCCCTTCCTTAGAATCCCTCCTCCATCTTAGGTGACCACAAGGAGAATGACGGTGTAATGTAACACTATTTTCCCTAGGGAAGCTTACGTTGCTTGATACTGTACTTAAAGGATTAAGAAATCAGAAATTGCATTTTTAATCAATCTGAACAGCAATAAAACTCTGAAAGGAAATAAAATGATAAAAGTCGCAAGTTACAGTGGCTGAGGTTTCAATATAAAATTATTATTCATACGATCCATGAAATTTCGTCGTCTCACGTGGTCAACCAAAGTGATTCGTTGAAAGACAAATTACAGGATATCTGGCGCCTCGTGCTTCAAACCCGTCCGCATTCAGGCCTCCGTTTCTCAGCACATGCTGAAAAGCATGTATACGAAGAGCCTTCTGTGTCTTTTTTTTTACATTTCTTCCCCTTTCTCCACTTCCTTTTTTGTTTTTCGATCCCATTCTTTTTTCTCCTTGCTCGACCGAAGAAAACCGAGTGTCTCGAGGCTTACTACCGTGGGGCAATAAAAAGTATCACACGACCGTGTCCCGTTCGTGTCACCGTGATAAGAGAGACTCTTTTTGGAGACATCTCTTTATCTGTGCGTGTCACTAAAATTCGTCGAAAGCGTGTCGGTGTATTTCTTGCTGACACTGTCGAGAATCGTTCTCGAGTAGGAGTTCTTCTCGAGACGCTTTCGAGCTTTGATTTCACAACTCTTAAATTGGGTTCCTGAGACACATCTTGCAACGAAAATTAATTTTCCTGGAAGTTTTATTTCTTTTGAACAACACGATACGAGCTTAAAGTACTTCTGTAAAATATTAATTCACTCCTACGATAAGTGTTAAATAAATATTGGCAATGCAACTGATTCGAATTCGAATCAATAATCTATAGTTCCAATAATTTAACTTGTCTTTTGAAATCATTTACTATTCCTTTCCTGAAGGTCGGTGCCCCGAAAAATTCTTGTGATAAATACCTAAAGACCCGAAATGAGCAGGGAATTAATTGTAAGCGATCTCAGGTATCTCCAAATGCCGTAGAACTCGTTCAATAAACCCAGGCGCCTGTTCGGTAAATCCAACGATGCTTTAGCGTCGAACAGCTAATGAATCGTCGCTGGTATATTGGTCGTTAGTTTATTCAGCGTTATTATTATCATTCGCACGGCCTAACGAGGCCTCTTTGCCACGAAAAGGTAAATACCATTCGAGCACACCTTAACGAACGCCTGTATTTTAGAATCGCGACTGATTTGCGAACGACCCGTTCAGACCAGTTTTTTTCTTGTGTCCATTAAAAACTATGACTGATAAAATTGGTGGTCGTAAAATGCATATTACCTGGAGGAATCTTTGTTTCGGGTGAAAGGCAGATAAATCCTAAATGGCAAAGTAGTATGAATCAGAAATAGTCTGACATTGGAAAGACGCATTGGAAAAGAATTTCTGTAACAAGACAAAAAAGGTGATCTTTGTAAAACAGAAAGTAAGAACGTTAAGATTGTCATACGTATGGTAACCAAAATCAGTGAACTAATTATTACCGCCGTTTATTACTGCAAGGTACACCACTCCTTCGTTAATTATCATAAAAGATATGTAAATCTTGTACTATGTCAATCAAAGTTGAAGTTATTACTCTGATATATAGTTTTCGATAAGCATGGAAACGGGTCAAGTGAATGCGCGTGCATCGAGAATTACTTGTCCAAGGGTAGAAAAAGATATTCTAAAAAAATCAGATACATATCAAATAATTAAAAAATTTACATGAATTAAAAAGATCTATCTAATGTTTTATGAATTTTTCGTTTTTGCTCTCTAATCCAATTTTTCTAAGTACATATTAATTTGAAATAATATTTTCCAGACCATTTCTTTTTTTCAGTAGATATCATGCAATAAATTAAATTCACACCTTCATTTTATAAACGTCCCTCACTTACAGTTACCTAACAATACGAATCACATTAATTACCATGAAAAATGAATTGAAACATCCGTATTTATGCGGAATGAAGACGATCGATCATAGAGAGACCAACACGTTGTCCATTGTTAAGCAAAGAACGCATTGTTTTGTTTGTCAGCGTTTACCAGGCGTTGCTTGCAAATTGCTTACTTCGTTTAATTGTGGTCAATGAGCAACATTGATTTTTATTTTTTCCACCGATGAGCAGAAACCCGTCTATGACGTCCAAGGTCTATCTAGGAAGTTCCATATTGCTTGGAACACATTCCTGCGGTTAAATGTTGCGAGTAACGCGTATTCTTAGACCAGCCAGATAGCATATTAGAACAGATTCGAGTCGCTTTTAAGTGTTGCAGGGAACCGACCGAAACGGCTCTTTATCCTTGATCCAAATTCATCGGCCAAATCTTGTTCTAATGTCTCCTGAAAGCAGAAGGATGGCTCATTAATCAAACGAATCGATGTTCATTGTACCAGCGCCCACGATACTGCCCGACATTGTCTTTGCTCAATGGACGGTCTTCCTTCTCTGGTCAGTTTCAGGATCGTTCAACTGCCTTCCGGTTGGATGCTTTCAAATTGAATCTCTGAGTTATTAAGGAGATTTATTTCCGACGTTTTATCGCGTAGGTGTCCTTTCAGGCAACCTGAAAGTCATAAAGGAAACTTTGTTAGAAATAGACAAATTGTTAGACTTCCTCCCCTTTGGCTTTGATTCTCTACAGATCTTAAAATCAGTCACATTCGACATTAACAAGTTGAAGGAATTCGCTAAGGTACGAGTTGCAGGTGTTACGAGATGATAGTTTGATAGATCGAATTAAAAACGCGGAATATTCTTCGTGGTACATAAATGTAATCCATCCAGGAAGTTTCTTGTCTTGCAACGTTTCCTCATTTTCGTATCGCGAGCTTCGTATCCATTGTCAAGTCAAGGTATTGTAATAAATTACAAGCGTTCTCAGGTTCCTGTTAATATTGCACAAATCTTCTTTGTTGTAATCTATAAATATATCTTTGTAATGCTGCGATGACGTGGTCATATGTATTGTGAATTACAATCATTAAATGATATCCGATCCTTTGACACGCATATGTGACTAATTTTCAACAAAATAGCAAGAATTATTATTATAAATAATAGGTTACAGTGTTACGATGTTTGCAGCAATTAAATGAAATATTTCCAGTCACACTTGCAACGTGCCTAATTTCTAAATTAAATCTTATTTCTACCGAGTCGCAATCAATTTGCTTTTACGCGTATGTCAGCTAGACTGACAGTAGGAAAGATATTTATTCATGGACCATCAGTTTCGTGTCTCGTTTCTTTCCCAACGTTATGACACTCGCTTAGTGCAGGGTCATGATCGTGCAACTTGCAGTCACTCGACTTTCATATGCTGTTCGAATCTTCATTGACGTCTTTCGAGTATACACTTCGTCTCCTTCGCACCTCTCCATGTCCATTTCGTTGTTCGCTTCTTTATGAAGCTTTTAATGTTTCCTCTTCCAAAGTGCCTACATGGTGCACCTACACTGTTAGTCAAAAGTACGGGACCATTTTATCCAAACTACATTTTATGACATCAAATATTAAAAAATTGCAAGATTTAAAAAATGATGGCTAAAATTTGAAAAATTCTTCCATGACTGATGCATAAACTTTGGTATATTATATCCCCATTACAAGACATTATTCAAGCATGTAGGTACAACTACACCAGGGAATTACAGTTAAGTTCCCTAAGAAAAAAAGTCTCCGCTCAATTTACAGTCGCCTCATCAGCAGTGTCGTTCGTTAACTCGTACCATCATCAACGCTATCCGCGCAATATTAATTTGCCCCTTAACGACGTAGATTATTACAACTCACGCAAGCTATTCGATCTATTACAGCAACGAGGCAGTTTCCTTTTTACCTATCCTAAATTTAAATTCTCCCATGGAGCTTCGAGCTGAGGATGACGATGCACGTGACCGTGCTTATTCGCGGGCTATCGGTTCTGCTTTCGCGTCTCATCCCTTTCTCATCTCGCGCATTACGACGCGTACGCGTAACCGGCGCGGCGCCAACGGATCGGCCGAGCAGGTTGCAGAACGCCTCGAGGTCTCGTTGCTCGAGGCGAAGCGGACAGATCTTCGAGCAAGGCGTTAAACGCGGCTCTCGACAAGCTTCGTCCCGTCGGACCACCGTGAAAAAGCATTTCGAATTCGCCACGGAATCCGGTCTTATCGAGCAAAGTCAATTATATCCGGCCCCGAGGAACTGGTTGAGAGGCGTCAAAAGAAGGATGGAATTCCGTGAAACCATGAAACGATTCTACGAGTGATCAACGCGAATGCTAAGTCAGACTGAATTATCGGGAAGATTTTTCGAATGTATGGGTGTAAGGTCGAGACCACCATATTTGTGAAAAGGAATATTGAAGAGCAAAGTATTGCCGACATAATGGATAATGTAATCAGCTACTGAAATAAAATATGCGGGTTCAATTTCTGATACTCCTAGTCGTTATTTTTTATGGATTTTTACTTCCTCAGTAATCAGCAAAAATAATCTCTTAGTCTATCTTAAGGTATATGCACTTTTATGCATCGGTGCATAAGTAACTGCAATTGCACTACACGTTTTATTCTTTGTGCTTCACTTTAACCCAGATCCTCTCGATAATACACAACATGAAAATTCAGCCTGACGTTAATTCTGCTGCGTTATTTTCGTGGTCACTAGACCCGTTTAATCCCCTTTGTCAAGAATCCAGAGCATAATGCCGAATTTGCATCGTTCCTCATCGAACCACCATGAACCATTAGGTCCAAAGCCGATTATTAATTAGCTGCTTAAAGTTTCACGCAACCTTTGCCTCATTTTTCTAATTTAACTACGAATATTTATACCTTTGTAACATATGAAAACTATACAAACCCCGTGTCTTTAAAATATAGAAAACGAAACCCGTATAGCCGACACGAATGTTCATGCGTTTCGCGGTTTTTTTCCCAAATGTATATACATATGTACATTTTAAGCGTGCAGCATAAATCTGTAAAGGCGTTAAAATACATTAAGTTACGTCGCGCGCGTTAACTTGTAATAACCGAGTCGTAATTCTCTCGGCAACATTTACAAGCGGCCTCGTGCGAAGTCAGGCCAGGTGTTTACACTGCGATAAAACAAGTTGTGTTCTCGCGTTCCTTACGGAAAACCACGTGTACACGGTTTGATTCCCGGCTCTTCCGGATGATCTGGATGATGCAGCGAAGCTTTTTGATGTCGCACCTCGGGGAGGAGCTCTCGCCCGATCTTGTCGCGTGTCAACTTAATCCACATTACACGGGCCCCGTAAAAAATGAGCTTCGTGGGGACTCGACAACGTACGAACAAGCAACGATAAAATATATTGTTCTACGATGTTGTGGGTCTTTTCAGCTCGAATTGTAAGCTGCCGAGAATATTAAATCGAAAAATGAAGTTGCTATAAGGGAACGCGTTTGAATAAATAAAAAGTATACTGTAACCGAGTTAGATCGAGCCCTTTAAATGAATTATTGTTAGGTTCGTTGCGTAATTAAGGGATTCCATAAATTTTTTTTTTCTTGATCATAATCCCGACGGAGATGCTCATAAATCACGTTCTATGTCATAAATATAAATCCTAGATAACGATCGATGCGAGATAACATTAACGTCCGGTATCCCGGTGTATAACACTCGATCTCGTCGTTAATATCAAGTAATCGGGGACCTGTTTCACGTCGTTTGACATTATCGAACGGTAATCGAGAACCGTGTGGCGCGGCTCGCATTGTTCACCTCGTGGTCGATTTATAAATTCGCTCATGCGATATTCATACAATTAACATCCAACCGATCCCGTGCATACAACGTAACTTGACATTCATCCCGGGTTAATCCAATCAGAGTGAGGAGTGTCGCTTTGGGCGCGGCTTTATATGCACGTTACTGATTAGCTTTTACTGAAAAAAAGAAGCTTCACCGCGACGGAACAACGTCCCGTTCGGCTCTAACGATTATGAAGGACAAAGGTGGACAGTGTCGGAAAATCAATCAAAGATCCTTTCGTCCCTTCGAGTGATGGCGGATTAATGATAATTATGAAAATTGTGCTGACAGAAATTGAACGAGCATGTGCGTTATCTAAATCAGAAATTGAAGGATACGATTAGATGATTATGCTGTTCTCTATTGTGGCGAAAGCTATTTATGAGAATAGATCGAACACCTTCTGTTTGAAATTACTGCAGAGTAATGTGTTGCTAAATTTAGACGGGATTCGAGTTCAACCCGACAAAACTAGGCTCGATCGTTCGAACAAAGTTTACAATTATCCGTTACGCAATTCAGTGGAAACAAACCGACGTCAGCTGAAGAGATTGCTGAGTTTAAGATTGTATAACGTTTAAAAGAGGTCAGGTAAAATTTCAATTCCGATACATATCGAGCATTAATAATGGAGCTTGAACCATATATCAGTATTTAAAAAATATACAATCATTCATGAAATTGGCAAATAATACTTTTGGCACTACATCGACACAAAACCGTACATGGAACTAGAATAGAATTTTCAAGAAATCAGTAGCCTATTAATCGTCCAATCAAACGGTAGTAATAGATATGAGATTCCAGTTATGACCTGAATCAGCATCGAAGCACTTGCTAGTACGCAGCCATGTGGTCTTCACTGTAATTTATACCCGTCTTTCGCGTCCCATATACCGATTCCACGCCCATGTAACACTAACCCACGTATGAGGGACTATAAGCAATTTAACATACAATTTCTTATCTTCGTAATCTTCTCCCAACTTCATCAACCGCAACAATAAGTAACGTCGACCTCGCGTTAAGTTACAATATCCTTCGAGATTACTTTCGCAATGTTATTTCGTTTATTAACCCTTTCCCATCTACTGTCAGATCAGAAACTGCATTCTCATTTGCATAGTAAACGTTGACAGGAACGAACAGCCTGTTTCCAAGAAATCACTGCAATTTTTTTTCATTTATGTTCGATTGAAATCACAAATAATAATATCCATTGCGACGTATGATTCCTTCAAGAAAAATTTACCTTCTATGCTCAAGATGAAGTCAAAGGCATTCGGTAATTATTTCAGACGAATATGGTGGCGAATGCTGTAAAATAAAAAAGCTTTCAGTAACGAACATGGTAGCAGAGTGGCTCTCGATCGTGTGACGTGTCCGGATCTCCCACGAAGTGGTCCTCGATTTCCGGTGCACTCGAGCTGTCTCGATTCAGAGATGGGACGACGAAGTGCAGCTGAGCTCGTAGAGGCTCGACGGGACTAAATTTATGCTGTGACAGCCATAATTTCACGGTGGTTTTACGCGTCCAAACACGTGTCTCATCCACGCGTGTTGTAGCTTACTAATTCGCGTCCCATTCGAAATCCACTCGGTTCGATCGTGCCATAGCCTGTTTGCACAAACGTCGCTAAGTAGCCACGTGTACAAACACTGTCTATGTTTTGACTAATTATTCTCTATAAATAGTCAGAAGAATCATAAGGCGAATGGAATTTTGGTTGTGATTCGCGGGACTGCGTTCCTGAAGTCGTATGAGTAAACAGAAGAAAATGGTCTTCGTTTGCGTCTTTGGTTAACATTGTTCGATTGCTGCTATTTAATGCTTCTCAGAGTTTGAATACCTTTAAAAGGAGGTTCTCTGTGTATTTCTGTCGTAGAAAGTGAAGGATAGGACAAAGAAGCTTTGAACATTCTCCATTGTGCAAGAATTGACATTTTCTCTGGATTTTTATTCCTCGATTGTGCATAGTTGAATAATCCCTCAGTTCATTGCTCAGATTAATATGTCAACAGCGGATAAAAATTGTTTTATGTTAAGAAAGAAACATTGAGTTTCAAAAAAGAGTGTTCACGAAATTTATAGGCAATAAAACTGCACGATACTTTACATTTTCCTCGCGTAAAAACATGATACACTCGGAATCATGGTCGGTGACCAGATCGACGATAAAAATCGAAGATATTTATCATGGATACAAATGCAATACCATGCAAGCAATGTGCCTGACAAAACGAGCGTAACGCTTTCCATTATTTCTGTTAGCTCGTTCTGATTACTTCCTCATTGAGGACGCGTAAACGCATCATTGCTTCCGTGTCATTTCTATTTCCTTTACAATGTCGTGTTTTATTACTCTATTTTATCGATTAACTTTGCTTCAATATATCACTCTGTACTATTCATTCGATGTTACACTTATTGGTACCATCTATTTCAAAAGTAATTAAAATATGTCTTGCTTAAGTATCAGATACAATTATTTAACTAATAAATCATTTAAGATAAGACACTTTGACTATTAATTTTGACTAAGATAAGACTACTAATTTTGCATTAATCATAGATGACCCCTGTACTACTGAACGTGTTAATATAATTACTTTCAATTCAATTAATTGCTGTATGTGATACTTAAGGTATCTAATACCCTATGGAGCGATAAGATTATTAATTGCTCGATCATTACAGCATGAATTCATCATGAATCAAACAGTTAGAGTGTCAAAATAAATTGCAGCTCATTTGGTTCCCTCTGGCAACAGAAGAAAAAGCGCAATAAATCAGTATTAAATTAATTATACCTCGTTTTTATTTGCAGTGCTTTTCGAGTAGCTGCGGTGGACACCTTATCGATGGCATTTTCACGGAACCAACCTTGGAACGGGGTTACAATCTGGTTGCCACAGTTCCAAGAGGTGCTCTGGCTCTGAACGTGACACAATTACGTCACACGGAGAATTATTTGGGTAGGACAGTTGCAATTTATATTCGGCATCCCGAGACCAAAATACCATTCCGTTGGTGCAAGTTCAACGAACATCGAATGGAATAACAGATGATCGTGAAACTGTAATAGAATAATAATAGCGTTAGTGAAATAAGCCTCGAGTCTCGGCTTCGAAAGCTTAAGTTTCATTACTTAGAGTGTCAAGCTTTATACATCACTACATAATAAAGCAGAGAACAAATGAGCGCGTAACGAGGGTTGCTTGGAATATTGAATCAAACTGATACGCGGAATCCCGTTTTCGCAGCGACAAAATGATTCTAACGAACTGTGCCAGTAAGCAAATTGTTCGCGATTGCTCGCAATCAGCTGCACCCGTCCACGATCCCTATTTATTATCAACTCAAGATCTGCTATCGTTGGAATTCATCCACTAATATCTCGTAATCTAATCTCTGGTTAAGTTTTAAGTGGGACGTGATGAGTCTTGCAAATTAAATGAAGCAACCATTTATTAGAAGTACATTGTCTTGCCGTTGATCTGATTCCAGAGACTTTATGATATTTCCGACAATCAGTGGTAAAATATCGTTCCAGAGATCACCATTTTTCATTTTTATCGTCAGTTCAGTCTTTGATATTGTATCCAAAGGGAATTATATAAATCGTAAAGTTGACAGCAACCCTTTGAGCATTTAACTCCCGGCTGAACGATCGTTCTTAAGATTTCCACAATGGATCGAATCAGCTGACGTGCAGTTAGATCTTTAAGAAGATTAAATATCGCATAATAATGATTTTTATTTCCACTGGCCGGCCATTTTTTGGTAGGTGCAAAGTAACGCGAAATGACCCGAAGATATAACGACGTGATCAATTGCAGGCTTAAAATGAATTCTCGACGTTGATTTCACAATTTACATATTCGATTCGCAGCTAACTGAAACGTTTTATTGAGCTACCATAAAAGTTATTAGAGTTGTAAATACCCAATTAGTTGTAAAGATCAAGAAAGTCCTGGATTTTATTTATATTAATGAAACTACTTAAAAGTTTTCTTTAAAAAACTAGTAGAATTACCTAACAGGTTATTAAATGAATATCTGCAAATTTTTATGCTATTTAACACGTTCCACGATCTTCGAAATATATTCAACGTTCGAGGGTTTTAAGAAAAATTAATTGCTTTCATGTATTCATAATCGTAATTCTGTTTGCACAAAGTGCTACTTATCGCAATGGAATAAAGGAAAATAGATAGCACTACTTTTGAAGTTAAATCAAGCTTGAAGAGAGTTGAAAGGAGCTCAGCATGAAGTCTCTGTGCATGTCGATCACTAAATGACTCGTCTATATATCTAATGCATCATATCTCGCATACTGTATCGGGAATAAGTGTTTCTCCTATGTAAACGCCGTGATTGACTCTTCGTTTCATTACGCGAATGATTATGCGATTTACTTCTCGACTCATGGCGAACGCGCGAAACAATTAGCAATACGATCAGCTGAGTCATTTTATCTCATTGGTTATCAGTAGTTTGATCTTCTGAACGTGTCATTTCTATTTCAAAGGAAAGATATGGAAAATTTAATTTTCTTACAAGTACCAATCTTTGAGCGAAACTGTATCAATGATTGAAAATAACAATTAAATTATAATTAGAGATGTAAAATAAATTAAATTATGTATTTCTTTTTCAGCAATAAAATTGCAAAATGGTACCTACCTGTTGAATGGAAATTATAGTATTAACTTATCCGGCAAGTATCCAGCAGCTGGGACAACTTTCACCTATCTTCGTCAAAGTCCTCAAAATTTGGAAAGCTTCTCTGCTATTGGTCCATTGCACGAACCCATCGATGTTATGGTAAATAAATCGCCACCTGAAAAAAAATATATTAAGTTAGATAAAAGAATTAGATAAATGAGTTGCAATTAAGAGGACAAAATATGTAATGTTTGCAAAATAGGTTTTGTATCAAGAACCAAATCCTGGTATCGTGTATCGATATATCATCCCTGGAAGTGTGAGTGTCCCTCCGAATCCTCATCTTGGACCTAAAACAGGTGCCTGTTAATAAAATTGTACTAATGGAAACAAAACCTTTTAATTTCAATTAATTATTATACAAAAAAAAAAACATTTTATTTCCAGTTTCTGCCAAAGCTAGTGAACCTATCGTACCATCTGTTCCACATAAAAAGTAAGAATTAATTTTATAATGCTCCATTATCATTTTATTAAATTGAATTCCTTATGTTTTAGAATAGAAACTGGAACTAATATCAACGATGCAACTCAAACCTATCTTCCAAGACGTTACAAGAAAAGAAAATTTATATGGAAAGCAAGTGGTTTCACTGAATGCAGCAGGACTTGTGGAGGAGGTAACATTCAATATTTTAAAATACTCAAATTTATACAGTATCTAGTGATTTATTCTCTTGTATAATAAGGTATTCAGATGATAAGATACGTGTGTATAAGGGAACATACGCAAACTCAAGTGCCAGAAAAGAGGTGTCATGCTTTAGAAAAGCCACGAGAAACTCAAACGAGATGTAACACTATGCCTTGCCCTCCCAAGTAAGGAGAATCATTATTTACGATTAGTATAATTCTTATTAGCTCCCTATCTTAAATTTTTAACATTCTTAAGATGGAGACCTGGCCCCTGGAGCGACTGTTCCGTTACTTGTGGTACCGGAAATCGCGTTAGAGAGTTAGAATGCGTGCAAGAAATAAAACCATCATTAATAATGAGAATAGCCGATGGCGCCTGTATGGAACCAAAAATTCTTCCTACGAATGAGGTTTGTGAAATGCCAGCGTGTGAATATGAGACGAAAACGACGACGACCACATTATCGCCTCCACAGTGGAGCGTGGGCACATGGTCTCCGGTAGGTCTAATGTTCTTCATTCAAATGGTATTCAAATTTAATCCACGTGTGAGGAAATATATTCAAACTTTTTGTATTATAGTGCTCAACAACTTGTGGACCAGGTAAGAAAACAAGAACTGCAAATTGCATCACACAAGGACCTCCTTGTGATCTTGAAGAAAAGCCTATTACTCAAGAAGCTTGCGATCTGGGACCCTGTACCACCAAACCACCTCAAACGAATATTATTTCAACGAGACTTCAAAGTCCACAGTGGTTGTACACCGAATGGTCCGAAGGGGTAAAAGCAATATTTATTAATTTAATTAATTCCATAAAATTAATCAGGAACTTCTGAAACTTAGGAAAAGAGGTGATCTCTGGAAAATTTTTGTAGTGTTCAGCAGAATGTGGGATTGGAGTACAGACGAGGAAGGTTTTTTGTGAAAAGGGACCGGAAGAAGAATTTTGCGAGGAATCAACTCGACCTGAGACTGCAAGGACTTGTTCCAGTAACAGGACATGTAGTGGACAATGGTTTTCAGGACCTTGGTCTGAGGTAAGTTCAAAATATTTTCTAAATAATAAATAAAACTAATTTTTCATTTCTTTTTTTTTTTTAGTGTTCTTCAGAATGTGACGGAGGAGAACAAGTGAGAGAAGCAGTTTGTGTAACAACCCTTCGTGGATCTCTTCGAGTTGTCCTCGATATGAATTGTCCTGCGAACAAACCGGAAACGAGAAGAGCTTGCAATGGTCCACCATGCACATCCATGTGGTTCATATCAGACTGGACAGAAGTAATTGAATAAATTTCTGTAATATGTACTATTAAATCGAAGCCTACAAATTACTGAGTTATTATTTAATACTTTAACTAACGCGGATTAATCTTTCAATAACCTAATTAGAAAAGATAATATCCTTAAATAACTTTAGTGCTCTCGATCGTGTGGAAAGGGCATTCAGAAGAGAGAAGTCAAATGTTTGAACAAAGACGGTCAAACACCAGACCACTACGAACTCCATTGCAAGGAAAATGATCGTCCTATTTCCCGAAGGACTTGTAATGATTATCCTTGCAGAGACGATATGCACGGAGCTGAGAATCATCACAGGGTTCTGCAAGTTCAAAACGATCCAGAAATCTCAAATGGTATAACAAACTGTCACTTTTACAAATAATATGGAAATTTTAAAATATTTTAATTTTCAGGACTCGAGGAAAACCCACTTTGCAAGGACACCATATCAAACTGCAATTTAGTCCTGCAAGCTCGTCTCTGCACTTACCAATTTTACCAACAGCTGTGCTGTCTCTCGTGTTCCAGAGCTAAGCAAGAGTTAGAATGAAGATTTAAATATGACCAGACAAACGTATCTTTAATGTAAATGTAACTCTTCGATGAACAATTGAGAGAATATTCCAATCTGAAATATTAGTTAATTATTAATTCAAAAAAGAACTAAAGAATCATTAAAAGGTAATATTCTCTTAAATTCGAATCGTCGAAGATAACACTAAATATTATACGTGTCGCTGTAGATTTACTTACCCCTGCACTGCCTGATTTAGATTTTAACGTCGACTTTTTTGTACATGAAAATGATAAGCTAAAGGTACTCCCTGAAAAATGATACCTAAAAAATTGTACTTACACGAAAATCATAAGTAATAATAAATTTTTGTATCCTGTAAAGTAAGATAATTTTCGAAAGCAATTTTTCTGTAAACACGATAAAAAATTATGAAATCTTTGTACGATAAAATTTAAAACGTCGATGTGGAGAAATTAGACTGATCGTGTAAATTGTAATAAGGCAACATTGGCATTTAATTTGTATTATTTTTCGTTACACGTACTTGCCGTAATAAACTTAATGCTTTCTACATTTTATTCTATTTAATCAATACCATATCAATTAATTTTGGAATGAAAATGATATCCACGTCTACGGGAAAATAGAATTATTATTGAACGAAGAGACCAACGTAAAACTATTTACAAGATTTATGGTAAAAAATTATTCTCTACGTCTATCACGTTCTAAACAATAAATTATATGTACACACTTATCGTTTGGGATGATACAACATCAGTTGTGATTGTGTAAAAATAATCGTCACTAAACGATACATTTGTAAAATATATCCCTCGTCTTACGTGTTCTCAAAAAGTTCTTCTCTTATCCATTAAAATCGTTTCTTGAGGAAAGAGACACTTAATGGATCAGAGGAACTTTGATTGGCAATCGTAGAACCGATTAAAAATTAAGGATGCCCAACTAGTAAACTAAGGATGAGGATTCGATTGTCTCGTGAAATGTTCACGAACTATCGGTTTCTGAATTTTCTTGAGCGGTACTTGTACTATTATCATGGTTTTTGTACGCTGAAAAGAATGCTAAAGCTTTCATTAGCTGATAGCTTTTGCTAATTGGAATATTGCTATCGTATAAGCTCTTCGAGGCTTTGCAGTCCACGTAGAACCACCAGTTGCATTTCAGGATCGTTTGATCAAATAAGGTCGATTCAGGACAGAGGAAGCTCTTCATGATCAGACCATCGTCTGTTAAAGCACAGACGTGAAACACCTAAAATATTAAAAGAAACATTTATATTATGCAAAAATACAACAGACAAAGCAAAGTTTATGCTGGATATCTTTCTTCAGGTCATGGTAGCGAACATATAGCAAATTGAAATTTTACCATGCACCCAAGATCTTCATCAGCATAAAGTCCTGGAAAGTGTTTCTGATCCCCACAGTAAAAGCTCGTATCTGGAAGATCTACTCGACTAGCAAAATTGTCATCAAAGTTTTTGTCATAACCCATTGGGTAATATTCACGAGGTGCATTCATCACCTTAGTGGCTCCAGAATTATATTTACTGAAAGATTTAAAATGAACCATGAAATATAATTCTAAATTATTCGGAAGAAATAGTTAACGTAAAAAAATTTTCCACTCAAATTATAATATTACTTTTTATTGGGAGACACAGTGGTCGTTGTAGTACTGGTAGTGGACGGTCCCTGCTGCTTTTGCATAAGTTGCTGTTGCCTTAACAAAATTGCTGCTTCCAAAGCTTCCAGAGTAATATTACTGGCTTCTGCCAGAGCTTTCAAGGATGTTTCCATCCCTTGAATAGGTTCTAATGATGGCAAGGATGATGGCAACGATTGTCGTTTCTCATTTTGCTGTTGTGGCAAGGACTGACTTGATTCAGATGACACTGGTTGAAGAGACAGTAGAGTCATCTCGTTTACAGATGATGCAGCATCTTCTCCAGGCAAAGGCAGCTGAAAATTGATGAAAAACTTTGTTAGTATTAACAGCCAGTTTTTTTGTAAGTCCTCACAGCTGAAAAATGTTTACCTGACCAAAATCATCCTTCGACACCTCATTAACAGAGTCCTCCAGAATAGCAGGACTATTGCTGATGCGATCGGTCAACTGTGCTGATGATGGTGGCATCGTGATAAAGGGAGGCAAACTATCTGAAGATGATGATTTCGATGGAGTTTCAGGTTCCATGATGCTTCCAGCTGGAGGAATTGCAGCAACGATATTAGGCAACTTTGCTGGCATTCCAGCTGCAACTGCAACCACCTGTGGCATCTGATCTCTCTTCACTTGCATAGAAACTACATGCTGATGCCTCTTCTGTTGTTGTGCCATTAATTGCTGCTGTTTCTGTTGTTGCTGAAGTTTCTGTAACTGTTGCTGTCTCATGGCTTCCTGTTGCTGTAGCCTCTGTTGTTTCAACACTTGCATCGCGAATGCTTCTTGCTGCAACTTTTGTTGTTGCTTCTGTTTCATCTCTTGCTGCATCAATTGTTGCTGTTGCCTTAACAGATCTTGTTGAGTCGTTGATAAAGATGGTGCCGGCACTGTTCTAAGAGCTGTAGAATTCTGTTGAACAACCAACTTCTGGCGTTCCGGTTGTTGAGCAATCGGTCTTGCTGCTCCTGGTGGTAGAGGCTTGAAAGGAGGCACCACTTGACGAGTACTTTGTGCATGTTGCCTGACTTCGTCACGATTGGAAGCCTTGGAACGATCATTAGCGATAAAATTGGGTTAATTAGGGCAAACATATCCAGAGATCCATAATTGATGAAATTATAAATTATTCCGCAAATAAAAAAACACAAAAGGCAAAAAATTAAAAATCAAGGTAATAGGGATATGCATGAAATGATTCAGTGACTCTGTTTTCATACGACATAATACCTAATAAATTGCTTCTAGGAATTGCATCCAATTAAACTATGCATTTATACTCTGACCGCGACAAATAGCAATTGAGATCTCGGATGAAACCTTGCCCTAAATTGTTCATCTATCTCGTATTTGCATACTCCTAAGCTAGTACAAATGTGGACCTTGCACTAGGTCCTGTTATTGTTACGAAGAATAGATTCATCGACATTCACGCGCTAATTACGGCAAGGCCGATCTAGATACAATCAAAATTAATCCATGATAATGAAGATCATATCCGGTTTATCCACTGATAATTAAATCCTTGGCCAACAAAGAATAAAAAAGAAAGAAGTTCCAATTGTTTAAGTACCTAATAATGTTTATGATAATTGTTAAACACCTGTGAAAATCACGATGGAATCGTTCTTCTATCCATCCTAGAATTTCCTTGAACCAGATTATAAGAGGACAGATGCTTACATACTAATGAGCGTTAAAGATTAAATAAATATACATCATACGTATAAAAGTTATGAATAGATGTTGATTTTAGTTTCAGTGCTTGAAGATTCTTACCACATTGGTGTAAGATGGTACACCGCCTCTGTTAGTTTGCACGCTTCTTCTTTTGGCAGCCTCCACGTTTGACAAAGACTGAGCAAAACCTAACTCGTCGCCAACGGAGAACCCTGAAAACAAAAATTAGCAGTCTTTGTTAAATTAGATGCAAATATCTGTTAACAGTACCACGAATAAAATATTGTACCAATTAATTGCTGGTATTTATGGAAACATTTTTTACCTAAACAGTCACTTGAAAGGGTCTCTATCTTCTGAATATGTCAATTTATTTTGTTACATACAATTCACATTTTGCATACATATTTCGTTATTTGAAGCACGTATTTCTGTGTGACAGGTGTCATTATTACTTTAGAAGAGTAAAAATCGGATCTGACAGATTTCAAAGCACCAGACCCGAGGAAAGTTAAGCAATAACGCGTTACATAACAATCGACGCCACCTTTTTACTCCATTCTGTAAACCGTGTATTTTTACAAAAAGATTCCTTTGATTTCTCCAATGATTTACACGCGACTAATGCAAATCAGGTTTCCATCGGAGATGTCATCTTTTATGAGTCTCTGGAAAACATCTCGACATCTGGGACGAGTCAAGGTAGCAAATAACGAACCGTGCTTTTTCTTGGCAAGATAGTGGTAGAAGTAGGTTAAGAAGGGACATTTTCTTCGGTCGCGATATCAACATACGTACACGTTAAAGTGTGTAATTAATTACTTCTTATATAATAATAGATTGCATGGAATCACACATAAATTCATTCTTTTATTTAACGAAATAGTCCCATTTTACCATTTATGTCACAAAGGTGGTATAGACAGAAATAGAAAGTATGTTATTACCAAGTGCTTAAAGAGAGAATATAATTAACTGGCATATACCTACAATTAACTAAAAGATAATTATTAGATCATTTCAAATGTTAGTGTTCCTTTTGACAAATGAAAGCAATAGAAAAATAAGCAACTAAGCAATACTGTCCCTTCTATTCTAATGTTAAGAAACCATTAAACTAATAATATACAACATATTTACAGTTTGTATATAATTTACAAATTTCATTATGTATCAATTATATTCGTGTTTAATTAGTTTCCTTTTCTTATTTTGAAAAATTGTATTTCACCAACATCGCTGGTTTGACAATAGTCGTTTCATGGAAAATGTTTCGACCAGTGACATCGATGACTTGTTTCGACTCACCCAGGCCGACGTAACCTTTGACCCCTCCAAGATTTCGTACTCGAAATAGGCCGGATTTTTTGAAGGCGCAGTTAAGCACAAAACCAAAGTCCGATTGAAACACACACGTCCCTAGTGTCTCCCGCCACGTGCATCCTGCAACCAAACCGGAAGAGAAGAACACCATGGATCCCTGTTACCGATCCAACCAATCTCAACGCGATTGGATTAGTCTCCTAAACCCTACAAATTTTGTTTCCATCTTAACCTGCGGTATCTACACTGTTTCTACTTTCACGAAGATTTTATTTTAGATAAAAATTTTGAATCATTGTATAAATCATAGCTGACGTAAATTAAACTGATACGTTCATTATGAGAACGAAATAGATTCTAAAGATAAAGCAATAACGGAGAAAGTCCATCCGTTTTAAACCGGACTTTTAGCATAAAAATGTGAAGTGATCCTGACGTGTTTCCATTACGATGGAAAGTCACATCTGTTTATTATTCTAGGTTGGATCAGTTGACAGGGATTTGATCGAGGATCATCTGAAAATCTAAACTATTAAAAACGGGACTTTTACAACATCCCATTTAATATTGGACGGGGTCATTAATCTAAATACCTGATGGTGCTACTCTGTGCTATTGATCCTCGACAAAAAAATTCATTTGCATTTGCAGTTGTATATCGTGAATACCGTCTATTCTATTCGTCTTACGTAGGCATTAAGTTCCTAATATTCCTCAAAGAGTGAAATGTGATGAGATTTTCTAATAGATGAAGGCAATTCTGCCTTTATTTGCGGTTCTTTGGTACGTGATAAAGGAAACCGCACGAAAGCGTCGAAGAGAGTTCAAACAAAGATTGTGTACACAGGAATGTGTAAATTGAAGTTCATGTTCTGTGTAACC